AGGACATTTACAAAATATCTTCATGGAACATGATCTTTACTTAATATCCTAATGATTTTTGGCATAAAAGAAAAATGTATAATTTTGACACATACAATGTATTGTTGGCTATTGCTACAAATATACCCCAGCGACTTAACACTGCTTTTGTGCTCCAGGGTCACATATACTTAATATGCTTTGAAATGTTGTGAGGGTGAGAAAATAGACAGATTTGTAGTTTTAGGTGAACATTTATTTTTTCTTAAATCAACTTTCAACTGCCAAATATTTGAATGCATTATTTAATTTAGTCTCTCTTCATCAACAGCATCCAAGATGTAAATGACGCGCAGGCTAGTTTTGACATAGCGAGATCCCACTGTAAGGATTTTGCCTTTGTTCACATTGCTTATGCTCAGTTTGAGCTTTTGCAAGGTAAGGAGACTTCAAAATATAAGGCGCTTTTGCCTCTGTCAAAAAAAAAAAGTTTGCTGATTGAGAAGAACACAAGGTCATTCATTGCTTACATTCTCTCCAGGCAACGTTAAGAAATGCACTTTAATTCTTCAGAAGGCTTTTGAAATGAATGCTAAACCCAGGCGCGTTCTGGAGGCTGCCGTGAGGAATCTAAACGCAGGCAAACGGCAGCTCCTCTCACATGAAGATAAGGAGAACTTAACAGGTTAGTTTACATCATGTCGACTACTTTTTACTGTGGTGTTGTTGTATGGAAGCCTGTTTGCGCTATAGAATAAAAAAGGTCATTGTGACTTTATCTAACAATCTGCCACACTGAGGAAAAAAGACAGAATTGCAAATTAAAAACTTGCACCTATGATTAAAAAAAAATTGTGAGATAAAATCACTTTTTTATTTTTATTAACTTCTGTGGCGGAAGCAGGCTTCCATACTTTTGTGTCCAGTTTTATATCCAGTGAAAAACTACCAGTGCATTATTAAAAAATTTTAAGGTAGAAAGTCAGTAATAGAGGTTTGAACTTGGAACAACATGAGGGTGCATAAATCATAATTTGAAGATTTTCTGTAAATGTTTTCGTTATATTTTATTGAAATCCTGTAATGTATACTTTTGCTTTTCATGAATTAAACATGTCTTTTAAATGCCTTGAGAAGTGTGTGCACATGACGATGCACACGAGTCTGTGAGAAGCAGCTCCAGAAGATCTGATGGAACATGTGACCTGCAGAGCAGCAGCACTTTTCACCACGGGTATGATAAGCTCTGTTCTTTCATGGGAAGTTCATGACAAGTTTGCAGGGCATATCAAATCAAGCAATATATTGAATATCATTAAAAGGCTAAGAATAACCACATATACGTAGTTCAAAAAAACATATCACATAATGATACCACATATTGTTCAAAAAATATTGTTCCAAAGCTTAGGTCAGTACAGTTGTTTTCTTTTCTTCAGAAAGGATGCATTAAATTTATCAAAAGTAACATTTGTGACCCTGAACCACAAAACCAGTCATAAGGGTCAATTTTTCGAAATTGAGATTTATACATCATCTGAAAGGACTTCAAAATATAAGGCGCTTTTGCCTCTGTCAAAAAAAAAAAGTTTGCTGATTGAGAAGAACACAAGGTCATTCATTGCTTACATTCTCTCCAGGCAACGTTAAGAAATGCACTTTAATTCTTCAGAAGGCTTTTGAAATGAATGCTAAACCCAGGCGCGTTCTGGAGGCTGCCGTGAGGAATCTAAACGCAGGCAAACGCCAGCTCCTCTCACATGAAGATAAGGAGAACTTAACAGGTTAGTTTACATCATGTCGACTACTTTTTACTGTGGTGTTGTTGTATGGAAGCCTGTTTGCGCTATAGAATAAAAAAGGTCATTGTGACTTTATCTAACAATCTGCCACACTGAGGAAAAAAGACAGAATTGCAAATTAAAAACTTGCACCTATGATTAAAAAAAAATTGTGAGATAAAATCACTTTTTTATTTTTATTAACTTCTGTGGCGGAAGCAGGCTTCCATACTTTTGTGTCCAGTT